TGTGTGTGTGAATGTATGTGCGGGTGTGTGCGTGTGTGTCTGGGTGGTGTGTGTGTGTGAATGTATGTGCGGGGTCTGTGCATGTGTGTCTGGGTGGTGTGTGTGTGTGAATGTATGTGCGGGGTGTGTGCATGTGTGTCTGGGTGGTGTGTGTGTGTGTGAATGTATGTGCGGGTGTGTGCGTGTGTGTCTGGGTGGTGTGTGTGTGTGTGAATGTATGTGCGGGGTCTGTGCATGTGTGCAGTGTAACTGTGGGTGTGTGTTAGGAAGTCACTCGAACGTGCTGAGATTAGGACACTTCCTCTCTAGTCCATCTACAACAGCAAGGATTCGAGTCAGACAGTAACACAAACCTCTGGTCAGAAGTCACCATGGTTCACATGCTTAGGAAGGTTCCCAGAACTGACCCCGTGACGGCCGTCCAGAGAGGCTGGCCAGGGTGGCTACTGACTGCTGCGGGCCCTGGCCTTGCTGGACCAGAGCGGTGCCAGGGGTCATGGGGGCGGAGGGGAGGGAGGACTAATTGCCACCTGGCCACCCTGCCAATTAGGGGAGGAGAACAGTAATTTGGGGGTGGGCGTCAGGCCCCCAGGCTGGGGTGTGCCCCGCGCTGTCCTCCCTGGCGTCAAGAGTTAACAAAGCCTCATTAACCTGGGTAGATCTGGGGAGCTCCTTGGTGGGGCACCCCAGACCATCCAGCGGGGGTGGGGTGGGGAGAAGCCAAGGTCGACTTCCCAGCTTTCCTGACCCTTCAGCCCTTGAGCCAGCAGCTCTGGTCAAGGAGCCCCTCCCACAAGCAGAGTCCCCGCAGAGACGGGCCAGGAGGGAAGCTGGCTTCCTGGGCTTTCGCCATGTGACCACCACCTGCCCGCCCCCTCCACCTCCTGTCCACTGCGCACCGACCATCCACCTATTCTGCCGGGGCCTAACCGCCCTCCTTCCCCGCCCACACCCCTTCGTCCACTCGCGGAGCCAGGCCGACCGCCGCCCGCTGAGGTGGGGCTGGATGGGGCGGGCGTGGCCCCCGCCTCAGGCTCTGCCACCGTCCATCAGGGCAGACTGGTCCAGGAAGACCGCCTCCTGGGTCAGCACCAGAGCACCCCCGGCGACCAGGGCTCAGCCGGGGTCTGGGCACAGGAGGCACTCCACGGGAGTGAGTGTGGCTTGGGGCAGTCCGGGCTGGCTCCCTGGTGAAGGGGGCTGTGTGCCGTGTCCTGGCAGAGACTGGACAGCGGGCGGAGACCCTGGAGCGTTCCCCAGGCAGCCTCGAGGTCAGTGGGGCGGGTGCTCTGGGCGCCTCAGGCAGAGGCGCTGTTGAAGAGCTTCCACAGTGGCTGTGGACGACGCCAGGTGGCGGTGCGGCTGGACACCATCTCCAACGCCCACCTGGCCCTGGGGCTGAGGCCACTCTCAGGGACAGAGCCAGCGGGCAGAGGGAGGCCGGAGGCTGGTGCACAGCTGACCGGCCAGGTCGGCTTCCCCCGCCCTGTCCGCAGGTCCGTCCAGGAGCCAGGACCCCACCCCGCAGGCCGGCTTCAGCTCCCGCTCTCAGGGTTTGAGTGGCCACAAGCCCGCGGTGAGTGCCGGGGGTCGGGGCTGTCGGGGCGTCTCGCTGTGCCGGGGGTCGGCCGTCAGGGCGTCTCGGCTGCAGCGAGGGTGGGCGGGATCCCGGACACCCGCTCACCGTGCTCTTCTTTTCTTCCACAGACCTTCAGGCCCATCGCCAAGCCGGCCTACAGCCCAGCCTCCTGGTCCTCCCGCTCGGCTGTGGACCTGAGCTGCGGGCGGAGGCTGAGCTCTGCCCACAACGGGGGCGGGGCCTTCGGGGCTGCGGGGTACGGGGGCATCCAGCCCGGCCCGCCCATGGCTGTGCGGCCGGTGTCCTTCCACGAGCGCGGTGGGGCCGGCGGCCGGGCTGACTACGACACGCTGTCCCTGCGCTCACTGCGGCTGGGCCCCGGCGCGCTGGACGACCGCTACAGCGTGGTGTCGGAGCAGCTGGAGCCCGCGGCCCCCTCCACCTACCGCGCCTTCGCCTACGAGCGCCAGGCCAGCTGCGGCTCGAGCAGGGCCGGGGGC